ATTTATATAAATATACCTTTTCTAAATTTGGTATTAGTATTTTGAATGCATTTGGTAACAATTCTTTACCATTCCATGTTCTTATAAATTTCATATAAATAGTTAAGCTTTGTGTGCAATGTTTTCAATAATAATTATGTAGTTATTACTAATGATTAAATCGTAATTAGTATATACAAAAGAGTACAATAATACTGATCATAAAATAAACGCGAGATAACGTTCAATGTAGCAGATGCAATAATTAAACGTATTTTGTGCATTAGTTTTTAAAATATGAAAATTTATATTGATAGTAATTTTATAAAATAGCTTTTTCGAATTATATTATCGAACTTTGTGAACTTGCAATTTCGACTGTAATCAAAGTATCGAGTACATTTGAATATGGTCGGAAATATTTTTGAAATGCTCTTCTGAAAAGTGTCGTTATCTACACATTTCGGTCAACGTAATAAATATTTGTTCAATATTATTTTATTTCATTCATGTAGCGAAATAAAAATAACTTTTTAAGAAGCTTATATGCGTTTTCTTAATATTCATTTTCACTTGTTTCATACGTAATTATTTTTTAGTGAGCTACATTTATTTGTTTAGTTTTCACCAATGTATATTAAAGAACAAAAATATATTTTTAACAATTTGTAGGTAATTGACTATATTATAAAAGTCTTCAATATTTTTCATTTATAGCTGCATATATACTTCTTGGAAGTAAATCAATAAATATTTCGTGTACCTAACATATGTTAATCTCGTTTTCATTCACTATATTTAACGAGTTATTTTACAGAACAATTATTTAAAAATAATTTTAATTTGGTAGGGTAATCTGTCATTACACCAGTTGCTCCAAGATCAAAAGCTTTCTTAAATTCTTCCTCTTTATTTAAGACCCAAAAATAGACCTATAAAAATATGTTCAAACATTTCTGCATACTAGAATTAAACATTTTTTACCGTTTGAATATATTCTTATGAGTATTTTTACAAGAATACTGAGAGTATTATCTATCTAAATTACACGTTTAAAATTAAACCAAACAAATAGTCAACTTACATGTATTCCACGAGCTCTTAAGTGATTAAATAAGCATGGTCTCATTAATAATATACTGATGCTTCGTATAATTATTTTTTCCAGAGATAAAAATGTTGGACTTGAACCTCCTTTATATCTATAACAATGCAGTGTCAAATAATTTAATCAAATCAAATATACAATAGAATATTTGGAATACCTTAAATAAATGGAAGGTAGAAATATTTCCAAATGTGTTTCCTTTAGAGGTATAAATGGTAACAAACCAGTGTATAAAAAAACTAGTAATAGAGTTACACGTTTCATAGAAAATAACAAATTTATATTAGGATTCTGAGGAAAAAATAATTGAAATTAATATCAACATGATTTAATATTCTTATTATTTAATTTTAATATACAAACTTGTTACCGTTTTATAACACTTCTGTGTTATTTCATCACTGAAATTTCCCCATACAGTGTATTCCTCTCTATTATATTCCTTTATTAAATTAGATACCTTTGTTATAAGTTGATCATCATTAACTTTAATATCAATATTAATTGGTATATTGGGAAAGGCTTCAAATACTTCTTTTAACAAAGCAAATCGCCTATCTTCTTCTTTTCCTGGACCAATATATTCAACATCTGTTGAACTATAGTTTCTAAATCATTTTATTCAAAAATATATATTCTTTGAAAAATTATTTAAGCATACCTGGATCAAAATCTATTGGAAGACGTGGTTTCAATAGAGGTAGATCTTTGTAATTCATTTCTGAAATGCTTTTATTTGTTCCTGTACTACGAAAAAGATTATGATCATGTGATACAATTACTTCTCCATCTTTTGTTAAATGACAATCCAATTCCAACATTTGTGTACCAACTGCCACAGCTCTAAAGTAAAGGAAAATTATTTTCTTATGGTATTATATATAATAAAAAATATGGAACTAATTAATTATAACTAAGAAAATGTCTGCAGATTATTACATTACAACCCTGAGATAATGACTGAGCATCATAACTAACCGTTTAAAAGCGTACATCGTGTTTTCATAGCCTTCACCTGCCCCTGCAAAATGATCTTTTTATTAATAGATGTATTTTTTACGTACGTAATAATGCTAATTGTTGAATCACTGAAAGCTCGAAAACACACCGCCTCTGTGACTAATATGCTGACATAAAAATTTCACTTGTTTCTTTTTATGTAATAATGTTGGATATTTAAAAAATACCATTGACGTTAACATATAACCTCCTACTAACGTATACAACAACATCTTATACTTTTCTATTGTTCTTTATCTGCGTAACATAGTGAAACATGTTACTATTATTCAAATGAATTTTTATGAGCATGTATAAATAATTTGTGAATTATGTCGAAATAAATATTACAAATGACAGATTGCTAGCAGAAATTAAACAAGAACTTTACACAATCAGTGCGTTACATGACAGCCTTTATCATACTTAATACAAATGTAAACGTTGCAATTATAAAATCCTTTGGGTGAAATCATATGAAAAGTTTCCACTTTAGTTACACTTTCTCAGAGCATATACATTAAGCTGCAAGTTGTTTTTTTGTTTTATTTCATTATTTAAAAATAAAAATTGAATGTAGACATAATTTTTTCTAAATAAATTTGCAATAGGAAGTAAAATTTTGACAATATAAAGTTCATTTTAATTTCAATTATTGAGTATTTGTATTGTATTTTTCTAAAAGGAATTGTATTGTAATTTTATAAAAAATATCATACAATGAATTATTACTTTTTATTAATTTTTAATTGAAATTTAGTTCATTCATATGTTCATTCATGAATTAATTACACATTTTACGGGTTTTCATAAATACAATTGGCTATAATATTCTTTTTTTCATAAAAAATAAAAGACGAGTAGTCATAAGGAGAATTACGTAAAATCAGTAAAAATTTCCAAGTGAAATACGCAGAATTACAGGTAAATAGATAACTATATTAACCTGTTGGATATTTATTTTCCTTCTTAGCTAGGAGCTTTTACGAATGCACCTGTCAAACAAGTTAAAAGCTGCCTTTACAAAAATGTATTTTCGCCAGCGTCTCTCATTCGTTTAACGAGATGTCGGATTCGAATTCGCCGAAAACAGATGCGAGTAGTCCAAGCCTTTCGGGAAACTTACGACAATTTCGATTTAAGAAGAAACAACTGAAACCGTCGAATATGTGTAAGAGTTTTTTTATTCTCGAGTTTTAATTTCTAGGTCAGTACAACCGGTGTCCATCTTTTATTGTTGTGTTATTCAAGTATAATTTCTTATGTGATTATTATATCTTTTTAATAATTATTTTTAATTAATTATATTTGTATCTAAGTAGTAAAAGAAAGAAAGTAGAAAAATATGTTTGCTTCTATTTAGTTGTTGATAGCAATAATATTAATGGATATTTTTCATGCTATGCAATTATAAATAAATAATCATAGAGCTTTTATTTAGCGGATGATGATAGTAATTTAATGGGTTCTGAGATACAATTTCGACGCAAGGCAGTGAATGTAATTGAAGATAGCGATAGTGATGCGGGTAGCCCTATTAAAAAAACTAGCTCCCTTCGTCATACAGATAAGGTAAATATATTGTATAATGAGTTACATTGTTGAAACTTTATAATAAGATATATATGTTATTAAAAAGTGAAAAATAAAAAAATATATTATTATCTGAATTGTACAAAAGATATCTTATGATTTTGGTAACAAATAATTTTATACTAAATTAAAATTTAATTATTCATTATTATGCAGGAAATACATAATAACATAAATTGGAACAGTGATGACGGTGATGGAGACTCCAGAAAAAATAAGAGAAATAGAACCTTTAAAGATTCTTCCAGAATCAATAAGAAAAAAAGAAGAAAATTAAATACTGAGGAAGATGTGGATATTGATTCAGATGAAGCAGGCTTTAAAGATAAAGTGTTTGATAGGTATAAATTTATAAATTTTTTATGTTTGATTAAGATTTATATTTTTATTTTTTGTTTTTAGTGATGAAGATTCAGATATAGAAATATCTAATGAGCTTACAGCTGATAAGAAAGCAGTTTTAGAATTTATGCAAAATGCTCTTACCTCAGAATTACTGTTAATGTCTCAATGTTCACAAAAGAAAGCAAGTGCTATCACAGAAGCAAGACCATTTGAAAATTGGAGAGATCTAGTTCAAAAGTTTCAAAATAATAAATATCTAGATACAGAACTTTTGAATTCAGCTCAGGTAAATATTTCAAAAAAATAGTAAAATTTTTAACAATGTTGTTTGAATTACTCATGTTATATTAAACTTTTTTTATTGTAATAAAATAGGAATTACTAGCTACTAGACATGCAGTAGAGACTCTCATGAAAAAATGTCTACGCTTATCTACAAATATAGAAAGAGCTGTTGCTGCAGGAGCATCGGCTATCACAAGTCAACCCAAGGCATTATCACCAAATTTAAAATTAGCCCCATATCAAATGGTTGGATTGAATTGGCTTGCCGTGATGCACGCACAAAGTGTTAACGGAATACTCGCAGATGAAATGGGTTTAGGAAAAACGGTTCAAGTAATAGCTTTTCTTACATATTTAAAAGAGGCTGGCCTCAGAGACGAGAAAGATGGACCACATTTAATCGTTGTTCCTAGTTCGACGATGGGTAAATAAATATTGCAAATTCCTTTGATTTTTATTGTTCCTGTTTGTGATCTAATTTTTTTATTTTATTTACTTAGAAAACTGGAACAACGAGTTGGAAAGGTGGTCACCTAGCTTGAAAGTTATACAATATTATGGTTCTCAGGAAGAACGAAAAGAGATGAGATTAGGTTGGCGAAACGGTGATTTGGATGATGTTGACGTTTTATTAACTACGTATAATTTAGTGAGCAGTACACCAGAAGAACGTAGATTATTTCGCGTTATGCCTATCCATTATGTTGTTTTTGATGAAGCTCATATGTTAAAGAATATGAGCACCATTCGATATGAAAATCTTGTTAGGATTAATGTATGTATTTATAGCATTACACATGATTTTCTGAATAATTAGATAAGATTATATTGTTTTGATTATTTCATAGGCTAAACATCGAATTTTATTAACGGGTACCCCTTTACAAAATAATTTATTGGAATTGATGTCGCTTTTAATATTTGTGATGCCTTCATTATTTGCCGGAAAGCAAGCCGATCTAAAGAGTTTATTTTCAAAGAATCCTGTAAGTATCAAATGTGGTAATGGAAATAATAATTATAAAAGAATTTATATATTATGTAACACTGAATGTTACATTTTAGAAACTACCAGCAGTTAAAAAAAATGGTGAGCAACCATTATTTGAGCAAGAACAAGTAAAAAATGCAAAGCAAATCATGAGACCATTTGTACTTCGTCGATTGAAAGCCGAAGTCCTTCGAGATTTACCAGCAAAAAGTGAACGTGTGATTAAGTGTCCAATGATAGAGAAACAGCAAAAAATGTATACTAATTTAGTTGCTGAATTCTCAGCTGAGGCTGATCAAAGTACCGAGGTTAATGGTATTGGTATGATGATGCAGTTGAGAAAGTTGGCTAATCATCCGCTTTTAGTGCAAGACTATTACAACGAATCTAAATTAAAAGTATACCTCCAGATTTACTTATTTATTTAATTAACAGTATGATATCCTAATCATTAATCATTTTTGTGTTAGATAATATCGAATAGATTAGCAAAGGAACATTCATATAAGCAGAAAAATGCAGATTTCATATTCGAGGATTTACAGTGGATGTCCGATTATCAAGTAAATCAATTAACAAGAACATATAAAAGTTTAGCTGGATTGGGTTTACCTCAAGAACTTATACCTGAAGCTGGAAAATTAAAAATATTGGATGAATTGCTATCAAAGCTGAAAGAAGAAGGACATCGCGTACTAATTTTCAGTCAATTCACGATGATATTAAATATTTTAGAAGAATATTTAACGATTAGAGGACAAACGTACTTAAGGTTTGTTTTGTACTTTTTATCCTATATTTTTGAAATTTTTTATATTTTATGTGAATATGAAAACAGATTAGATGGAAGTACACCGGTAACAGACAGACAGTGTTTGATAGATCAGTATACAGAAGATGAAAGTATATTCATATTTTTACTATCTACAAAAGCTGGAGGCTTGGGGATCAATTTAACAGCTGCCGACACTGTTATAATTCACGATATTGATTTTAATCCGTATAATGATAAGCAAGCGGAAGATCGTTGTCATAGAGTAGGTCAGAAAAGGTATATTTTTAATCGCTAATTTATATTTTTTATACTAAAAAAAAAAAAAAAAAAAAAAATTAAAATAACATATAAGAAAATAAAAATAATTTAAATTGAAAAAATTTATTCAAATCTGATTTCAGACCAGTTAGCATAATTAGATTATTAAGCGAAGGTACAATAGAAGAAGGCATGTATGAAATAGCTCAGGATAAATTACATCTTGAACAACAAATTACCGGTGATGAAGGTAAATGCCATGAATTTTATTCACTTTATAATTTAATGTTATGGGTGAAATTTGTTTATAGAGAATGAAAGTACGGACAAGAAGAGCGTATTAAAATTACTTAAGATGACGTTAGGGCTAGATCACAACAGATCGTTATCGCTGTCTCCAGCGAAAAATGCGAGAACAAGTAATGGATTAATGAGCAGCGAAGCAAACTGTAATATAGAATTTTAAAGTTAATCCTTTATCTAAACATATTTCATACTGAAAATTTGACATCATTTTTATATGCATTCTTAAACTTTGTGATAAGGTCAGTGTTACGTTTGCACAAAAGAAAAGAAAAGAAATTCAAGGTCAGTCTTGGAATTACATTTTATACATTTTTATTTCATTTTGATCTATTCTAATTGGTGATATGTATCATTTATCAAAATGTATACACGAGTTTTAATAATGTTATTTGTAATTGTGAAACTTAATTAATTTTTGTGACATTTTGTACATCGCTTATTGCACCATTCTTCTATTTATATAAGTATATATTTAGAATCATTCGTGATTTCTATATTCCGTGTCCGATGTTTACGTTGTATATTTAATGGTATGTTTTTCGTGTAAATTTTAAGAGAATTATTAAGACTGCACAATATTTACTAATAACGCAAAGAATTGTGAATAGTTGAAGAAAAACGAACAAAAAAGAAATTTATGATTTAAAAAAAGGAGAACACGATATAAACGATGTCAACTATTTGGTATTACTGTACACACATTCCTAAACAAATAACTTAATCTTTGTACAAAATCATTAAAGATATTATACACCTTTTGTCAGGATTTAATTTATTATCTTGTAATACATACATTTGTACTTGATCGAACTCGATAAAAAATTATAATGCAGTAAATTTAGGTAATTAAACAAATTAGTGATTTATGATCAAATGTTAACAGTAATAAAAGCAAGTATTTCAGAATACATTATGTATTTTCATAATATTCTGTAATTATTTGATTATTACATTAGACAAATAACTTTTTATCCTATTACTCTTGTTTATTTTTTTTCATTGCAAATCCGCTAATTAAACAAATAATTTTCTAGAAAATAATAACTTAGTTCAATATGTATACACATTTCTTTAATCTTGTTCTTTTATTTTCATATTATAAAGATGAATTTAAACCTTTATCTTTTTTCATACCTTTTATTTAAAGACTTAAAAGAAATTTTAATAATTTTGATATCAACATAAAGTGTCAAAAATTTATTTTATTTTATTTCTTTATTTAATACATAACAATTGAATTAAAAATATACATCGATAATTCTTAGAACATATCGTTATTTAAAAAACAGATGTTCTTTGAATAATCTTATGAACAAGCTAAAATTAGAACCTTAAATGATCTCAGAGAATGTTACTATTAAAGATGCATGGAAGAAAAAGGAAAATTTCCATGATGTTATTCAAATACCTTTTCACTTTCAGGTATGTATATACTTCCCGATAGTACATAGCGGAATATTATTTATAACATAGCAAAGATAATTTATAATTTATAATATTTGTAATATAATTTTTTATAAAAAGTAACAATTTGTTAGATGAACTATAATATACCATTAATTATTATATTATCAGGATATTAATACTAAACACAGAAAAAATAAATAGGTGTCGCAGTAAACTCTACGTGCACATACTCGATACTCTTCTGTGTCGATAATCCATGACGTAACTTGAAAAGTGCATGTTTCTATAATGAAAATCTAAAGTTGTAGAATGCTACTAGCAGAAACTTCAGAAAGCTAGGAAAATTCCTGTGACATTATTTTTATAATATTCTGTGAAATTCTTTTTCGAAAACTACGTTCAATTGTATAATTATAAAATAATAAAATGTAACAATAATGAACTTAATTTTGTATATAATTAATCATTTTAATTCACGAATTTATAATATAACATATAAAGTAATTTAAATTTTTGAAAGATTAAATTGTAATAAAATTGTTAACCGATATAATTGAACATTCATTGATATCAGCGAGATGTGAGGTTAAAGAGTGAGAGACAAAACATGAAGTGGGGGATTGAAATGTAAAGGATAGAATTAGTGACGAATGAGGTATAGAAAAAGAGAGTGAAAGACGGAAATTAAAGCGCCGGGTAGTGGTGCTAAAGAGGAATCCCACGTGGCTCCTAGTGTTTTGAAACAGTTAAAAATAAAACATGCACATTTATAACAGATTATTAATAAACATATCGGTAGTTTTTCACATTTTGAATAAAAGATATAATGTTAAGTTGAAAAATAGAGAGAAGGACAAAATTTAATTTTATCATTCCAGTGATATCTTCGGAAATTACTACATTTTAATTTGAACGATTATCGTTGATAAAATCAGTAATTAATTTCTTACTTCGTGTTGTACAATAATAACCTACTGTTTTATTTATTTCTAAAGAAGTTAATAGGTGGCGTGAGTATCGAATATTCGAATCTTCAAATAAAAGCTTAACAAACAATTAGAAAAGAAAAATATACTGTTCATATTCTCTGTGGAAACTGTTTATTAAACAAGATTGAAGGAAATGATTATTCAGATCTAGTAATTTCTCCGTTCTTCCTGACATATCTTGCGTTCTATTTATTCAGCTCGTGAATAAATAAAAATATAGATAAAAAATATAGATATAAAAATTGATTAATATATATGAAGCAGGTTATGATTTTATACAATTTGTTATTTTTTAATTGTTCAACAACATCTGTTGACATACTTACCGGATGTTTTTCTTTAAAAATCTTAGAAATTCTAAGACGTTTTCAAATAATAATTTCGTCATATACTTCATTCTATGATAATAGTGGTATTTTTTCAGATACTCAAGTAAACGAAATTTGTATTCTTTCATTTCCAAATTATTATCATGTATGATATAAACTGATCAATGATACTTCACATGTAAGTATACTTAGATTGTAATTCATACTATTATTTATCGAACGATTCAATAGTTGAAATAAAAATTTTCCCTTCTAATTGATTTATCATTCAATGAAACTATTGTAAGTTCTAAGATTTAACCAATTAATATCGATAGGAACAAATATTTGTATGTTTGTTCGTTACTATTTCCCACTTTACTTTTATTATAGAAATATCGAAATAAACATATTCTATTAATAATCTTTTTATGCTAATATACTATGAATCGAATTCATCAGGTACACATATAATTATTAATGTCATCAACATTTGCAGCGATAAATTTGATTATGTTGTAATCAAGCGTCATGTTGTATCATATCATGTATTCTTATCAATGAGATGACTAGAACAGAAATCAAAATCAAGAGATTAATTAAAAAGTCAAAAGTATGACAACATTATGTTTAAGAAGTTTCTTAGGAAAATATTTCTGATTCATTTTTATATAAACGGACTTGAATCTATAATAAATTCTTTAGTTTCTGCTGATTGGTTGTGTGGTTTGTTACCGATCGGAAAATTGGCGCCAATAACAAAGATATTCTTCGATCATATAAAATGTTGTCACATATGTACAGCAGAGAGTTACGAAAGGTAAAATGTTTTTGAGGTAAACCAGCTCGTCTCACTTAGATCCCGGTGTTGAGTAGACTTCGTAAGGTACTCGACCGCATCGTTGCTCGTCCGAATCATGTCGTGAGTGACCAGCAAACGAAATGGCAACGAGTGCGGTTTGTCGTGTGTGTGGTATGATGCTATATAAATAATACTTGGCGCGAACCCTGATCAGTCGAGTTGCGGCGGCCGTACCTGTCGCAACACAATAATGCATCGTACCATAACAAACTGAAACCGGTTGTCCTTTTTCGCATCTTTCGCTGCTTCGCGTTCTCATTTACCTTAACCTTGTTCCGTGCTTGCGCCGCGCAACTCTTTTATATCTTTTCTTTTTGACGCACCGCTTCCAGGTGAATTCTTTATTCCTTTTTGTCTATTTCCTACTTTGTTCCTTAGTGTGTATAGAAGTGACCTGTCAGGATGTCACACGATAATTTAGGATTTACTTCAAGTACGGTAAGTGACATTGTAAATATAATTTACTTTACTCTTACTGTTTTTATTTACTCTTCTTGCACACGATGTTTTCACTTCTGTATTCTTTGTTTGTTGTCCATAACACAGAGATTATTTGAGAAAAATTTATTAATATTCAACTGTATTGATAGTGGTATAAACAAGCCATAATTACCTTTAATGCGATTATATTTTGTTCTTGTCCGTTACTTCGAGTTTTGTTTGAGAAACTTTATTCTACATGGAGGTTGTTTCTATTTTACCGATCAAACTACCGGATAACTGTATGATGTATCATTACAAATAGCGTACTTCAGGTTTATTTCTTTTTTGCCTTACTAGCAACTATTTTCTCAGAAAAAGCATATCGAATTAGAATAAACTTTTTTAAGATAAAACTTATTTGCCTTCTGTCGTTTATAAAGTACTCGAACTGATCTGCAAAAGAAAATAAATTTACTGAATTATTTTATATGTTTTACAGCATAATTTCAAAGATTATATATATTTATTAAAATTCTCAACCTAAATACATAGATATTTCAGAAGGAAGGTGACATTCAAGTCACAATTTATCAGTAAAATTCTTCTTATATACAGAAATGTAAATGTTTTTTTCCATTTACAAAAACAGTTCAAAGTTACGGTATTTTGATCCAAATCTTTTATTGTACAATTCTGGAGTCAATTGCGAATGTAACCGAATTTTGTTTAACCTATATCTTAGAACAATCGAATTAGAGAAACGGTGACCAATCGATCAGAACATCAATATTGACTCGATCACAATTTCGACCGATGTCGGTTAATTGTTAGTTTACAGTTATATTCTCGTTGGTTGTAAGGTTATTATTTTTCCTTTGAATTTTTGTGGGAACATTTATGTCGTTCGATGGTTTTGCGATCGTCGTTGCTTGATCAACCTCGAATATCGTGTATAAGGGAAAGTCCGCATCTGAACGAAAAATTCTCAAAAGATAATATTAACCGGAACTACGTACCACGTGACATTAATGCTTACGACGCACGGGCGATTCGTGATTTAAATCGGGCCAAGTTTTTCATGTTCGAAATCGGATCGACTTCTCGGCAAGTTTTTTTTTTTTACCGAGATTTGCGTCATTAGGATGTGAAATTCAATAGAAAAAGTGAACCGCTTCTCTTGAATGGTCAGTGAAACTGTGTGTCCTTCGTATTGTCATTATCACCGTGCGACTCTTGTTCCAGTTTTTGTGACTTTCAGTTTTTTCTATGATTTGTTATATTCAAAGTTCGTGAATAAGAAAAATTAATTTCTACTTGATTTCACAATGACATTGGTATAATTCTTCTATAATGATAAATGGTATTGTCAAGAAATTTTTACTTAGGTTACTTTCACCTACTTCCTTTGAATTCTATGGAAATGAAATTTGATTAAATATAGGCAAAAATAAAGTATATATTATTTATTTATATTGAATGCTTAGGCACATTGATCTAATTTTTAAGAATACGCGTTATCACAATTAATCGTTAACCTGATACTGATAAAAGAATATTCGGTAATTCGGTAAACATATCAGTGAACGTTATCCAAACAGAGGTCATTACATTGTTGCACACATGGGCCAGGTGATTTATAATAGGAATCGATAATTCCGGTGTTGATATTCCAGATTTGAGTATCGATATAAACAATTAAGCGGATTGACAGTTTACAGTTTATGATATTTGAATTTAAATTCCCCGAGAAATAATATTCTGATAACTGAAGATCTAGATAATTCATATCTAATGACAAACAAGAATGTAAGTTCTAATGTTTGAAATGCGAGAAATTGATTTGAAAGATTGGAGCCATGTAATATAGTAAGATTGAGAGATTGTATTATTGAGAGTTTGATAATTTGAGAAATCGATAGATCGGGATATTAAAAAATCAATAATTTACAAATTTCCTAATTCTTACCTTTCTTTCTGTTAAAATATTGAAAATTCCATCCATGTACCAAAATTGAGGTTAACCCGCGGATTAATTAGTGTCATTATCTTGTTATTTCGTATCATTGAATTTTGCTTATTCAATCTGATTTATAACAAGCCACTTAAACAAATTGTGTACGCACTCGACGTGTTGTTTTCCTTGAAGCGATTCGACAAAAAGAGACTCCTCCAAAAGATACAAAGAAACATGGGTACTGTTCTTCAGGAATCTACCTTAGTACAGTATCACTAAAAAAAAAAGAGAGAAAAGAAATTATTGCCCTCAATAACAATGCTGGCCGTGATATCAAATGTTTGTTATACTGATTGCTTAGTCCCGTCATTCTGACTGTTCTCGCCTTGTTTTCATAGATCATATTACCTGATAGTGATTTGAACTAAGCCATCGTTTGAATGGAACTTTTTTAGGAAATATTCCGTTGAAGGTAACAGTTGTGCTAACACTTTTCAAATTTTCGCGCTCCAATATTCCAATTAACCATCGGCTACCACATTGTAGAGGTCACTATGTGATGTGTAATAATTGTTTCTTTTTAAAAGTCTTTAAAAAGCTCTGAAACATCGTTTGAATTAATGAAACAAAGTTTCAAAGGGAAATTTAATTTTGATCAACGTACATACATATGTATATCTAATGAAAGGATATTTAAGTGATTCTTCTGGTAACTATATCTAGTTTTACGTATCTAAGAGTCGAATGATAGAAATAATAAACAATATGTTTATCAACCTTTCAACTGATATAAAAAACATTGACTAATGATAATAATAAAGTCATTCGCGTAGATACTCGCGTAGTAACTATAATATCAACTAAGGTCCACGAATACCGAAGTATCGCCAAAAGCAGTAAAGTTATTTGAAGAGCTTGAAGGTCTATTTATTTCGCGTACGACTTAGTCATTGATATTAAAGTCGTTATAGAACTTGAATTACTGAAATTTTCTGTCGTCCAATGAGAATCAAACTATTGCGTATATATTTCCTAACCTGTACGAGATTTGTTCTTAATGATTTATATTCATGGTTGAAATTTAGAAATATTCCACAAGTTTTTGAATGAATCGACGGTAATCGACTAATCATTTTTATTTTTTAACAGATAATTCTTACACCATATTCCTAGTATTACAAAAAGATGTATTATTCAATGCCTAAGGAATTTTATTTGTAAAAGATATTTATGTTTACTTTTTCAGTGATAAAAAGGAGAAAGAGGATTAAAATAGTTACATGATAATGGAACACGTACTTAGAAGTAATGTCCTCGTGTTTCAAAATTTCTTCATATTTTCATGTGTTCAATAATCGAGAAATTTCGTGTAAATAAAAGGAATTAATATCTGTATGTGATAAGAACTACGAAATTTATGAGATTCGCCTATCTATGCGCATATATTTAGTGGTATTATGATTTTTGCCATATTATAATAAGGTGTTAATACATTCGAATATTTAGGTCATACTACTATTATCATAAGTTGATTTTCTATTTTAATATATATTTGTTAATTGTTGCGTGATTCTTGGTTAGCTATGCCGTTTTGTGGAAAAGGAAGGATTGTTTTAACGCAAATGTTGATTCTGTGATTAGGTAAATACGTAGTTATTAGCGTGGGTAGTATATTAGGTAATAAATTAACAGGGAGTTAGTGTGTTAGTTAACGTATCAAACAGCATACTAAATAGTAGATTTAGTGACAGTAAGCGTGGTATTAGGTAGTGTATATGGAGTGTATTTAACTAGCGGATTAAATGTAATAAAATTCAGAATCCAATATTTTAAGAGATTGAAAGATTCGAGTTCAAGATTAAAAAAATTGTATCAAAAGTTTGTAAATTTGAAAATTGGAAAATTAATAATGAAAAATTAATTGAAAATTCACAATCATATTCCATTATCTGTTTGATACTATTTTACCTTGAATATTAAGTAACATATATTATACCATTTAGTAAGAGTAGTGGAACAACCATCATTATCAGTTAATTTTTACCTACATTTCTTTGAAATTTTAGTAACTTTTTATTACAAAGTGTCAAATAGAAGGTATAAACTTGCTTATACTAAAGTAATTGCTATCATTATCGCATTCTATTACAATGTAATAATTACAATAATAAGCAACAATTATGATTTTCAACTTAGAGCACTGTCTCGTTTGCAATTTCTCTTGAATGTAGATGTAGTTTTAAAACATTATAAATTGGTGTAAAAATTAATGAGGAATAAACGCGACTAGTTTCATCACGTTTTTCTAAAAAAGGAACGGTGCAATCGGTCGATCAGCAACCGTGAAATAACTTTCTATTTAGTTGGCCAATAAGTTCACGAGTTTTCCCGATGTGCCTACAGTTCGTTATTTACAACAGATGCGATCGATAGAGTTTTTCTTAGATAGTCAGTTAACTTGAGGACGAACTAATTGGAAGGCATTATAAATTAACTTGAATTTATTTTATCTCATATAAAATTACATTTCTTAGGTTTGAAAAATATTAAAAATTTCTTGGAGTACTTTAAGAATTTAAACGTGTAAAACTTTAAAAATTCATCACTTTACCTAATATTTTACATTAAAAATGATACTAAATTCTAAGGGATAGGACTTTTTTAACGTTACAAAAATTGAACTATTCTATTTGCAATCATTCTTGAAATATGTTATTTTATCTAATGCTTGATAGTATTATATTAAATCAACTACTAAATTTCAGAGAATCCTCAAAACTATCTTGAAAGAGAATATCGAATTTCAAAAGCATCATGAACAACGAAGTTCATACAATCACGTTAATTTCCCAATCGTTAGTCGGCAACGATTCAACAGAAATCTGCAACGATGTCTGCATAGTCCGTGACAAAGTTCGCGTGGATGAGAAATTAGCCTATCATGGATACGTGGAAAACAATGTTTTACGACGAAAATCCATTAGAGTTTTAAATTGTGTAAAAAGAAAAGGTGATTCACCCGATGATACCACGTTCTAATCTATTCGACCGAAGGTGACCA